GACAATGTGGGTCAGCTGTAGCGAGGTCGAGTCCCCACGACAGAAGCCAGACTGGTACTGAGAAAGCGCCGGATGAGAAATGTTTATACAGAATATTGCAAACAACACGTTCACATACTTTCGACAAACTTGGTAGCAGCGAAATGGGGCGATAATTGGTAGTGTGCTGACGAGAACCTTTATTCTTATAAATGGGAGTGACAACAGCAAACTTCCAAACAAATGGGTATACGCCGCTTGCAAAGGAGATGTTGAAGAAGGTGGAGAGAGGAGACGAAATTGAGGGTGCCAGACGTTTAAGAACTTCATTGGGAAGACCGTCAAAACCAGGTGATAATTTTATTGATTTTCAACTTGTCAATGACGGTCCTAACTGTGGATGGGGAGGTCTGGAAGGAATCAAGTGAGGACAGAATAGCAGAGTGTTCCGCGAGAGATGGCACGCACCATTGTGGGTCGTCACTAGGTGCAACAGTGGTAAAAATGCACTTTGGGCAAGTTTGCAATGTCCCTAGTATCATGAGCAATACTGCCGTCCGGTCTCTGCATTGAGGTTATGGGAGCACTTATGCGATTATTCGATTTTTGTAGGAATTGTGCGAAACATTATGCTAGCATAATCTGTCCAGGCCTATGGCAGGTACAATGTACATGTACTTCGAGTACAGGTTAACAAGTTAAGCAGTAGTTACTAGTACACATATTTGTATTGTTCCGTGCCTGATTGCATTCACTGAGAGAACTCTTCTTCAGATAAAGCTGCCGACAACACAACATTTCCTGTATTCTTCTTCCTTCCTCCTGCTTTGTTCTTGTGACTACAGTAGTATGTGCAATTTTAAAAAGCAAAACGAATCCAGACTATCCTGCCGCTGAACCCGAGAGCCACTGTCACGGGAGGTAGACCCAATTCATCAGCACGCTGATTCGCTGATTCGTCTCCAGATATGACAATGACATGATTATACATGTATTGTCATCGGTTCGGTCTTCTCATTACCTTCTCTGCTCCTCTGTGTACCTCAGTATTTAAAAAAAAGAAAAAAAGAAGAAAAAAGAAAACAGCGTTGTCCTACCTGCTGGCTGCAGAGGTCAATCGAAATCACGAGATTATTAATATTTTCTGACCACTCTCCATCACGACATCATCCGACCACGTGATCATACATTATCATGCAGCACCTCATGTACTTGTACATGTACAAGCATGCAATTGTTAGATTGATAGCATGAAACAAGGTGGAGGACACTGTGTTCGGAAACAGTGACAAGGTTTATCTTATACAGTCTGTATCGGCTATAGAGTGACCGGATATAAGAATATATCGGCTACAGTGATATTGGTACGAAATATCAAAAGCAAAACGTATTTTATCCAGTAGAAATATCACTACAACCAATATTATCGGATGTAATGATATATCGGATATTATGATGGCAACAAAGAATCAAAACATGCATAACACACTATATTATTATCGGCTATAGTGATAACTTTAAAATACATGTAGCAATAATATCAAAGGCCCTATTTTTTTACTTTCTTCACGTTGCTTATTTTTATAGTGATACAATCATGTGCGTGTACATAACAGAATTGTTTTATGGAAATTCGGGCACTGTCAACTATGCAGCATGCTCGTTTGTCAAAACGCCATGCTGGAAGTATTTCCTTGCCTTTCATGTGTCGATCGAAAAAAAGAAAGAAAAAAATCTATCGTATCGCGTTTAGTGATGCATCGGTTATAGTGATGAAATCACGGAAATCAAAAGGGTACGTACGCTATAGCCGATACAGACTGTACTGGTTTTTAACCAGTGTAAGGTTATATCATAATCATGTACATGTACATGTACATAATCTGCTCGACTGTGTACCTCGGTATTTTAAAAAAAGAAAAAAAGAAAAAAAAGAAAAAGCGTTGTCCTACCTGCAGAGGTCAATCGAAATCACGAGATCATTTTCTGAACAATCTCCATTACGACATCATCCGACCACGTGATCATACATTATCATGCGGCAGATACATGTATACAATCATGTACATTGCACAATGATCACAAGGAGGAAAACGTCTTTCTGCTAGCGGAGAAGGCTCAACACAATTACTGATAACGTGGACCACTACATTGTAGTATTACACGCAAAAGGCACAACAGAGGTTTACAGAGTTTGTCGCTCGAGCAACAAGCTCTTTAAACCTCTGTTGTGCCTTAATGTGTTGTACAATGATTATTTTACTGGACTGCTCGCTCCAACCATGCATGCAGCTTCAGTCATTTGGGTCCCAGATTCCCTAACTCTGACACTTGCTGAGTGCAGCACGCGCTCACATTGGCTGGACCCCAGCAGACATGCAGCCAAGAAAAAACAGTTTAGTGACAAGGAATGAAAGGTAGTGTAATGATTCTTTTTAATTATTTTTGTCCCCGGAGGAGGAGAGTCGCTACATTATGTGCTGCATGGTAGATGTACTAGTAGCATGTAGTACCGTACTCGCGCGATTAGTGCCCCTGGAGCACTATTTTTTCAATATCCATCACAGATGGGGCAGTATTCAAGAGAGGGCACTATTCAAGAGAGGGCACTATTAATTTTTTTCATTGCTGGTACATTTGCGTCATCCAGCAGAAAACAAAAAATAACAGAGCGGCTCAGCCTAAAGTGTACTGTAAACGCTCACGACTCCACAGAAACGGGAACAAGACCTGCAATTTTGTCCCTGAAAACACCACTGCGAAGCAATAGTATAGTATAATATTTATTCATATTTCTCTAGGGCAGTCCTCACAGACCTATGGTCTCCTTACGGGTACCCTAGCCAATTTAGGATTGCGATACGAAATTGACTTGGTGAAGCAGCGAGGCGGACCGATGCCGGAACTGAGTTTCAGCGGTCAGTGGCTAAATAAGAAAGAGAGGAATACAGTAACCAAATCGAGAGGAGGCTCGTGGCAGTACAAGTTCAAGCGAGACTTGAGACCTTGTGCAGGTGCGGCTACGTGCCTCAGAATTGGCACGAAGGCAGAAAAGGCGGCACAGAAGTGAGCCGGCAGAAGAATGAACGCATCAATGGCCAAGAACATTAGCAAAAGAACACCAAATTGACTTGCACATGGGCTTGGTTACAAGACCGGTTGGGGGGGGGGCACTATTCAAGAGAGGGCTTTATTTTTCACTGGCTTTTGGAGACTAGGGCACTATTCAAGAGGGGGCTCTAATCGCGCGAGTACGGGTAATAGATTCTACTAGTACTAGTAGTAGCTCGGCGCATGAAATTCCGTCATTATCATGATTAGTGCGAGATACTGCATAGAACGAACAAGATTTTGAAGTCCGGCGGCCGGAGCAGTACTAGTAGTAGGCATAGCAGATCTACGTATTATATAGTAGAACTCCGGCATCGGAAGCCTTGATTCCAGTCATCCCAGAGCACGTGCTCGCATTGGCTTGACCCTAGCACAGTACAGTAGCAGACATCATGATTCATGCCATCATGGACATGGAGCCAAGAAAAGACAGTACAGCGTAGTTACCATGGTTACAGTGACAAGTACAAGTCTGCATCGGATGAAGGCCGCCTGCTAGCTGGCGAAGGAGGCAAATATTTTTTAGGGCTTTGTTATGTCATCGTATGTATTTGTGCAGGCGTTGTGGCCGGATTCCTGAACTATGATACCATGGTTACGTAGTATGTATAGGGCTTGAAAGTGATGACGTCAAAAACGGCCAGGGAGTACTAAGTTGACATCAGATTTCTATTTTGGATCCACTAAGGTGTGACTTTGCTATTAGATATCCTTAGCTAAAAAAACGCTAACGTAAACGCAAACCTTTCCGTACTTCGGATCGTTCAAGCTGACTTTTCCCTTAGCACAAAGTACGTTATAGTTGAGACGAAGTAGTCGTGACAACCATGGCGATATGAATTTTCGTGGAAACAGATGCGGGAAATTCAAAATTTTGAACCAGGGATTAGTTTGATGTCGTTCCGAAAGAATACCTTGGCGAGGTCTTTTACTCTGGAATAGCAAAAGCACGGCGAAAATGAGTTTTCGCTGTTCCCAGGTCCTTGGAAACCCTTTCCTAAACGCAGCACCGAAGACTGTAAGGGTTCTCCAGCTCCAGCACGTCTGGGAGAGGCCGATGAATTTCTTCCTCAGGAGTGCCGTGGAACTGGTCCTTTGTTTCCCAGATGGGATAGAGGGAGAAAGGCACGAAGCAGAAAACGCAGAAATTGTCAACTGAAAGGCAAAACTCGCCAAAAAAGCTAAATGTCACAAGAGGAAGCAATCTCGACTCTCGATCTCATCTCGATCTGCACGACGTGCTTTTTATCTCCCGCCAGTTACAAAACAATGCGAGTTTTTGCATTTTTTGCAGAATTTCCATAACGAACGTCGGCCCGTTATTTTGAGCTCTGTAACGTTTTTCCGTTATCTGATAACGTCTTTTGTCACGGCTGGGAGTGAGTACCGTAAAAGTTAGCGTTATCGTACTTTTGCTAAGGATGTCTAGTGCCTCAGTATGTGGGTGCATAGCAACCCACTCATGTCATATGCAGGGGTGACTTTTACTTCGCCACCAGTTGTAACCCCGCCCCCAGTAGCCAAATCAGTCAGTTTCACTGGTTACATCACCTTGCTGTGAGTAAGACGGCTTGAAATGTGCTTGGATCCATACAAAAACTGGATCCAAGTGGATCCAATCTTTGAATTTTTGAAATTGTTGCTATGCTGTGACGTAGCACTTTCAAGCCCTATTAGGCGCATGTATTAGTAGCGCGCGTATTAGTAGCCTTTGCATTGCAAGCACTCAGAAGGAGGACTAGCTCGGCGCATGCCATGACCATGAATGACCCTCCGACAGTCCGAGATCATACGAGATGCCGGGAACCGCACAGAAAGAACAGGATTTGAAGCCAGCCGGCGCAGAAGACATGGGAGATCTACGTAGATCTGCGGCATCGTAAGATCCCAGTCATCCCAGAACAAAAGGCTTCGCCTGCGAAGCTCCACCTACTACTAGCAGTCAGATACCGACCGTATAGTAAGACCAACATCGAAATTTTTTTTATCATCTACCCGCCGAGTTGGTGAGGGACGAAGGCGTCCTGAATTTGTTTGTTCTTTTTCTTACCACTGGAAACGTACTGTCTGAAGTGTGACTATCGTAGACAAAGTCGTTCAAGATGAATCGCGACGCTCAGGCGTTGCTGGATGACCTAGGGCTAACACACCAGCATATCACGTTCCTAGGTGACGTTGAGGTGAGAGATGAAGACGAAATCGGCAGAGGATCAGATGCCGTAGTCTACAAGGTCAACTGGCAAGGTATCGATATCGCTCTCAAAGTTTTACACCCCGTGTTGGTTGAGCCAGGTGTACAGGATAGAGAGCGTAAGCTCAGAGCGTTTGGCCAAGAGGTGTTTCGTCTTAGCAGAGTACATCACCCGAACCTGTGTCAACTGATAGGATTAGCTCGGGTAAGGGGAAATGCTGCGTTGGCCCTGGAGTTATTGTCGGCGTCTCTAGAAGACGTTAGCATTGGAGATGGCAGAGAGGATGCTCCTAAGCTCGTGTCGTATCTCTGCGACGCTAGTGCAGGACTTCGCTATCTGCATTCATTCGGAATCATTCACCGCGATCTAGCGCCCAAGAATGTGCTTGTGAAAAATGGCACGGCCAAAGTCAGTGACTTCGGAGGTGCTAAATTTGTGCGCTTGACCTCACCTCGACAACAACAGCACCAAGTCCAATCGGCAATGGACATGACTCGCTGCCCAGGTACACTGGCATTCATGGCACCTGAGGCGTTACGTGAGACTCCGGATTACGATCGTCCCTTGGACGTGTTTTCGCTAGGTGTAATGATGCTAAGCGTTCTAACAGGAGTTATGCCTGGCATCGAGTTGATGACAGCGCCACATTTCGTCGTCGTGCGAGAACGTGGCCAAGAAGTTGAAGAAGTGATACCGGAGACAACACGCAGAGCACGCTACCTAGCACGTTTGCCGGATGAACATCCATTGAAGCCATTGATACGCCGCTGTCTCTCTAACCGTCCTGGGGACCGACCGTCAGCCGAGCAAGCGCACGAAGAGATCAAACGTTTCTTGGCCATGTTCAACAGTATTTTGCCGGTGAGCAATAATTTTGTTGTTTGTAATCGAATGTGACCTTAGGTAGGGACTTCAATTGAAAAATCAAATTCGCGAGTTTTGCATAAAACGCTAGTTTTTCTAAACCGGGAAGAATCGAGAAACAACCTGTGAAAATTTGAACCCGAAATTCCAAGGCAATCTAGAGTTATAGTCGATTGAAGATCGGAAAACGGGGGAGAAAGTAGTCACAGAAGTAAATGCAAGTATGTATGGGAGCCGTGTGGTTTCCGTCCAGCACTGCACTATCTGGTGCATACATGGCGACACAGGATGTGTGCATGCATGCGCATATATGCAGTGTGCACGCATGCCGTGCGCGCCGACTTGCACAAGTCACACGTTTTCACCGTCACCATGGTCACTGCTTCTACCAGTGTGCGCGCAGTTCACTCGATTTTTTCGTCTACCACCAGGAAATCGCCGTGGGCTGGTTTCTGTGATCATTTTCCTTCTACGGCGATAAAGCGCGAGCCTCAATGTTGTAGAATCCTCTTGGTTTAGGCTAATTCGAGGCCGCTGAACACGAAAATCGGGTGTTCCTCGCGAAGCCGAGTACGGATCTGGTCGAAATTAGTACTTCGAAGTGCACCCGCGCCAAGCGCGGAGGCATTATTTTTGGAAGCATGGCATGTGTGGCACCATTGGAAAGGTAATGACCTCGGCTACCTAAAAATAGCATCGACAAGGCCGAAAAGGCCGCGGGAGAAGATACTCGGGCCGCGAACTGCATCTCGAACTGCAGCCACGAGGCGCCCATTCACTTTGTACAGGCGAGCTGTGACTGCACTTTTCGCTTTTCAGTGACCGGAACTGAACTCCCTACCTTAGGCCGATTCCACACTACGCCGAAAGTGGCTTTGCCTTGAAGGCATAAATTGGCTTATAAAGTGAAGCTGCATTCACACCTACAAGTGTCGATCACGGGACTTTGCTTTGAAGGTTAGACTGTGAGGCTTTCCTGTGCTTGATCTAGCAACGGCGGTAGTGAAGAGGTTCTTTGTTGGGCCAAATCCTCGAATATCACCCACTTTCGCGTGCCCAATCTTGAAATTTGACCACGCCAGCGCGCGGTGTAGGCGGATTCCAGATCATAGGTCGAATATTTGTCAACCTCGCCAACAGGCATTCCGGTGGCAGTTTTCGTTGTGTATGTCTCGTACAGTCCTTTCGCCTTCGTTAATTGTTGTCGATTTTGGAATGGACGATCGACGCAGTATATTGCCTCCTCCCGGAGCTGTTCAGCAAACAAATTCAGCTTGATGGCGATCTCCTCCGGCGTAGCTCCCGCGAACTGTACCGGCCGGAGGTCGCCTCAAATATCCGCTCCAAAGCTCGATCAGCTTGCCCTCAAGCTCCTGGCTAAACATGACCCTAGGCATTGTTGACAGCTCACAACTCACCACAACTGAAAGATACGACAGGGAACACATTCGGAAAAAATCGAAAGGCTGAAAAAAAGTCAGAAAAGTGTTCTGAAAAGGTAAAAAGTTGCCTTGAAAGAGGGTGCTGGTGTTGCTTTGTAGACAACAAGCACTTTTCACTTTCGCGCGTTTCTCAAAGTGATCGCCATGGCAACTTGCCTGAAAAGTGCCTGAAAAATGGCTTTTTAGGCAGGATTTGGTGTAGTGTGGAATCAGCCTAAGGCTGCATTCACACACCGTACAAAAATTCGCGTTTACGTGACCGTACAAGCCACTTGCAACGCCTGTGCATTCACACAGTCAAATGCAGCGCATGCCGAACACGTAAAGTGACCCGCGTGACCCATGGCGAAGAGCGGGAATTTTGATTTCTGCATGAGCTGAGCGCACCGGTACAGACTACAGTACGGCACTTGGCTCAACATTTCAATAATACTATTTCTTGGTGCGCTAGTATGATCTCGGTGGAACGCCTCCACAACTGGTGTATTCCTCTGAGTGTGCTGGAGTTGTAAACGATCGCGGCGGTGTATAGCATTTCCTGATCACCTCCGGATAGCTGCTTTGCGCACAGATTCAGCTCATCTGCAATCCTCTTCTCGGCAACAGCTCTTTTCATCATAGTTCCACTTTGCTGGTATTTTCTCCATAGACTATAGTTCTATCAGCCGTAGCTCCACCTCGGCAGAAAAGACAACTCGAGGCATGGTACGGACTCTCCAAAAACTAACAAAAACTCCGCGCACTCAACACACCAAACCACTCGTTTCGACTTGCCTGAAAGCTAAAAGTCGAAATCCGCTTTCAAAGCCGCCTTCAAAGCCGCTCCGGGATGGCTTTGAACGTTGATGTGATTGTTCACTTTTCGCGCACGTTTCCATGCCCACTTCAAAGAACATGATGCTTGTATGCGGTTTTGTACCGTGTGTGAATGTAACCTAAACGTTTATTTCATGACTACATGTACGTGTACTGTCGTAGACATGGAAATCCGGTCGCACGTCTAGCGGCCCCAAGGCGCTGGCCATGCAGCCGTGGGTAAGCAGTACACACACACACACACACACACACACACACACACACACACACACACACATGGATGACCTTGTATTACACGCTGCAGCGCGCTGGTCGCATCAAGCGCTGTTCTGTACGCGCTGAGGGCACCGGCGCCGTCAATCGACTGGATTTCCGTGTCCACGACAGCAATATGAACTGCTAAGAAAAAGTCACATACTGTAAAAGCCATAATATATAACGAAGTGCTAACTCTAACGAGTTAACGAGGAGAAATCTGTCGTTAAAATAGAAATCGTTATACAGAAATCGATACATATACTGTCCTATTGAGCGTTGAGAATGAGTGAGAATCGTTACCTTTGGTACACGTAAACTAGTCAATTTTGGGAAATCGTTATGAATGCGCCTCGTTAGAATAATGGCTTTTACAGTCCTCACGAATGTTCTTTTTACATACCCATTCACTGTCAGTGTGTATGCTAGGTAAAATTAATGCATTAAACTTGAAGGTCTTCATACAATGCATGTGTTCCGCACAATCTGAGAATTTGCGCAATCTACAGATCGCGCTGCGCAATCTGAGAATTCCAGATAGCCTGCTCACTCTGTAGATTGCGAAGGCAGTTCCGCGCAATCTGGGAATTTGCGCAATCTGAGAATTGCCAAATTGCTCAGACCAGGCACAGTAAAACCGCGTGCCTGGGCTTCTGCGAGACTTCTGTGAGCACACCCAAGTACGTGTGGTGCAAAATTCCAGTGTGTGGTTCGTGCAATTTGTTGATTTCTCTCAAAATTTGAAGAGCACAGCGAATTCATGTGGGGCGCAGTCTGCGAGTGCAATCTGTGGATTTCGTTGAAAATCAAGGAGAGCACAGCGAATCCGTGTGGGGCGCAAGCTGTGGCCCGAGTTCCCTCAAGAAGAAAAACTCAAGGAGCACAGCGAATCCATGAGGGGCGCAATCTGTGGGCACAATCTGTGGATTTCTTTGAAAAAAACTTGAAGAGCACAGCGAATCCGTTTTCAGCGAAATCGGGCCACAGATTGCCGCCACACAGATTCATTGTGCTCTTCATGATTTTCAACGAAATCCAATGATTGCACCCACCGACTGCGCTCCACATGAATTTGCTGTGCCTTTCAGGTTTTGAGAGAAATCCACAGATTGCACGAACGGCGCACGTGAGTTTTTCACCACACGTACTTGGGTACCGCTTTTGCTCCCAGAAGTCTCGCAGAAGCTCAGTCTCGTGCCACAAATATTACTGTGTCACCGCAGATTGCGCAGGAAATCTAGGAAATCTCAGATTGCGCGGAACATATGTATACACGGGAGTCTAGTACATGTACTGCTGCTCATGTATTGTGCCTGATATGCAACAAACTTTGAGACGAGTCCAAACACACATTGATGTACATTGAGTTTCTTTTCACTGCCAGCTGACTGCTCAAGTGACAAGGCACTCAATGCCAGGCTGTCAGCTGTGCACCCCCACTGCCCCAGCGCCAGGCGCTTTTTACGTCCAGTTCAAAAAATCGAAAAGCCAGCTTTTCCTGTATTTTTTGGTACTTTCTGGACGGAATATCGCTTTCTCAGGCTGTCATGACACCATGGTACAAAGCGCTGCGTCTACGTCCACGTAAGGAGTTTTGGTCGGTTGTCATGATGATTCGTATACGGGGTGAAAACGGGAGCAGAGGAAACGGGAGACGTAGACGTGGTATGGAGAGGGGGATACGGGTATACGACTTTTTGTATGAACGTGCGTATTGTAGATATCGTACATGCAGTTGTATGTAGTACTATGTACGCACGTGCAGGCATGCCGTGCTTGTACCGCTTTATGTATAGCACGAGAGAGATGACATGGCGCACTTCTGATAGAGAACTAAAGAAGATCTGTTTAGCACAATGGCTGTCTTGTGAGTGACTGAATAGATGTCTACATTGGCGCAGTGAACGAAAATGACAAAGGGCAGGACGCCCAAGGAATTTATTCCTGACTATGCTGCGAGCAACGTCGGTGCTGATTTTGAACTCTGGCTCGAGGACATAAATGATTTCCTTTCAATCAGTGAAGTGACGGCAGCAGCTGACAAGAAACGCTTGTTCTTGAATCTGGCTGGATTAGCAGTGAGGCGCATTGTGAAAGGTCTGGTTGTCACGGTGGAGCAGACACAAGATGGCTCACCTGGAGATGAGTACCAAGCCTTGACGGACGCATTGTTGGCACACTTTCGACCGTCAACAAATGTCACGTCTGAACGTCACAAATTCCGCCAACTCCGCCAAATGGAGGGCGAGTCGGTGACTTCGTTCGTTGGGCGGCTGAGAGAAAAGGCAGATGTTTGCGAATTCAGCTCCACTTCTGTGGATACCATTGTCAACTGCCAAATTCGCGACCAGCTGATCGTGGGCCTGCGTTCTGTTGAGCTTCGAAAGGAGCTGCTGAAACAGTCGAAGCTGACCCTGAACGACGCCGTCACCAAGTCAGTGGCGTTGGAAGCGTCGATTACTGACAGTAAACTGTACGATAGTA